CAACTGCTACTGTTCATTCTAAACCATTAATCAACTTGTTCAAGGTTAACTAGTGGTTGTTGAACTAGAGAGATTTAGAAAATTCGATTTCAATGCACATAAATAACTATTAGATTTGGATTTATCCGTATCTATCCTATCTATATCTTGGTTAATTTTGTTCATTTAGCGATAATAGCTTCAGATGTAGATATGATTCTGATGATGCAAATAAGAGATTCCCACTCGTATTCACAGAATCGTCAACAGAAATGAGCCGTTTTCTTTGCAATAACTCAAAACATACGACTTCACTTGAACCTCGTTTGTTTATTAAGATTTATTACAATTTTCTTGCAGGAAGATACTGAGAGATTACAGTGTTCATATCTCATCACATCACACCAACTCTAATTAATTAATGGCGATAACAAATTACACACACTTCAATTGATTGCTGATCAGAGATTGATCTTTTGATTACAGCTAACAATGTGCAAGTTTAATTGTATCTTACAACAAACAGAAGCAAAAGTTCAGGTGAAAAACTTAATTTTTTCACATATTGAGCTGCCAACCCAAGAATTGACAGTGATTATATTATAAACAGAGATGCATCAGCGTACAAATGCAGTCAATAATAACTGAATGAGTTACATATAGCAGCAGAACCAAGTTTTTAGTTCATAAGCAGAAACTAATTATTAACTACTACAGTAAGAAAAGAAAAATGCATTCAGACACACACTAATTATCTGCCACGTACCTCGGCAAAGAGCAGCCCTCATTGGCTTATTCCTTTTAAGATAGTAACCATTATCTATCTATATATCAAGCCTATCATTGCAAAAATACTTAAATTTGCTCATTGATCATCTGAAAAAAAGAAGAAGATAAATTCTTAACCACACTGCAAAGTATTTTCCTTTTTGCAGTCACATCAAATGTACCCCTCCTTTTTTTTGGGGGGGCATATCATATCCATCGAAAAAATAAGCTAAATTCTCAAACCCACCATTCTCTTCTTCTCCCTTTTCTCCACTTTAAAGAAAAACACGACCATGAGTTAGTTGCCTTCAACATTTCAACTCCACCTTCAATTAAACCTTTCACTTTAAAGTCTTGCCTTGCTTCAAGACTCCAACTTTATGAATTTTCTCGCCACTTTTAATACGGACTCCCCAAAAGAGAAAAGGCTCTTAGTCCAATTGAGTGGTAAAAGATAAAATCTTTAGAGCTCATCATTCTCTACCGGAAAAATTGCTATGTTTTACAATTAATTTCAGCAATGACGCTTTGGCCGAGTGGTTAAGGCGTGTGCCTGCTAAGTACATGGGGTATCCCCGCGAGAGTTCGAATCTCTCAGGCGTCGATTGCTATTTTTAATTCCACCTATTTTAGGTGTCTTTTCATTTTGGTTATTAAAACAATTTCTCCAACTAGTTTGAACAATATTGTGAATAGTAATAATACATGCGCAAAAGTGCAATAATTGAGCAACTCTAGTAGTAGATAATGGTAAATGCACTAAAAAATCTTTATTTCACCGCACATTCACAACAAACTTTTATCCTACAATTTTAGTTTCGAAACAAAAAAAAAAAAAAAAAGAAAGAAAGAAAGAAATTAAATACTCCAAAACAAATATTAAAACGGTAAGAAAATCATTTGTAAATTAAGTTATCATATTATCATATACATGACAGTACACAGGTTTAACTGAAAAAATATAAATGAGACTTGCAAATGGTATTCCACAAGTGCTCTTCACTTGCACAAGCTTGAATCTTTATATGCCCTTTCCAGAATAAAATAATTAAATAAATAAATAATAATAATAATAATAATAATAATAATAATAATAATAATAATCTTTCAAGAAACTAAATGGGAAGAAAGATACACTAGGTGCAGCCAAATTGCACAAGACAATTCCCTTTATTTCAACTTTAAGGAGAGTAAAACAAATCAGGCATTATATAAATATATTTTTTCTATAGAAGGGTTGGGTACATACATACAACACATAGCATAGCATAGCATAGCATGATGATACAAAGGCAGGCAGCCCAGCCCAGCCCATACCAAAAAAAAATCCCCCATACATACAATACAATACAGTACAGTACACCTATAGAATAGAAATTGAACAGGGGTACAATGCTCAACCTTCACGCTCACTTTCTCTCTTCTTACTTCTTAAACATCGGATCAGATCAGCTGCTAATTTGATGTCCTTCAATTCTTTTGGACAAGTCAGACCTGCAGAAAGCATAAGAATGGGTATAAATAAATAAATCATTACATATCCAATTACAGGAACAAAACTACAAAGCCATACTCAAATAGTTCAAGAATTCTTCATGAGAAAAAGAGAGAAAAATACACACCTCTTAATCAGCGTCTAGCTCGGGGCATACAGCGGAATTCGGCTAAGAGTGCAATGTGATCAGAAGACCATTCGGGAGAAGGAAGAGCTGTGTCTTTACGCAAGCTATCCTCATCCAATAGTTCTAACAGGGACTCCACTGTTAACGAATCGGCTGCCCAAGGGTAAAACAAAAACTTTGCAGCTAAATTAATATATTCATATGTGTACTGTGAAGTTAATATGATTATTCTTGTCTCGGTAACCATTAGATTTATAGGGGAGACAGTTGCTCAGAAGTTGAACGGGAGCAAAATAATCATAATTCACAATAGAAGTAGAAACAAACTGAAAGACTCAAGTATATATATATATATACCTGAATAAAATATATAATCATGGGTACCGATAAAATCTCTAGTGCAGTTTGTGAACAGAGGCTCGTTTGTAGCAGGATCCATTCTCCTCCTCTGCTCTAGGCCATAACCAACCCCACCTCTCGCCAAAGATGAGTAAGCACTTACCTTCAGCACGCAAATGCAACATGATGGTAAAATTAGGTAAATACTCTTTTCGAAAAAAGAAAGAAGGATGACTAATTCTAGGAACAGATGTTTCGACACTCAAGACAATAGTGAAGTTTATACCAATGGCAACTGATGGGTTAATTTAGCAGTGGGGCGAAGGATTCCAAGGGGGTCCACGGTCAAGTCAGGATGAATTGGATCAACTTTTCCCATAGCAAGGAGGGTATGAGGAGCACTGTGTGGAAAAACCAAAAGTTGTAAAACATCTGCTAATTTATATGAATAGCTGCTTAAACGAAAAGGATTATCATGATAATCATAGAATAGAAGAGATGAGAGAGAGGGGGAGAAAAAGCACCTTCCAGGTACTGAACTGAAATCGCCACAGACCAACATTGGGATGTCTGCACTTGCAGCAATTTTTTCTAGACCTTTCAGTAATGTATGGACCTGATATGAAGAAAAAAAATTATATAATTCGACAATTCAAGAAATAAACAACATCACATTCAGCATAGAGAGAATAAAGAGAATGGACTCAAAAAAGAACCTGCCAAAGCTTGACATCTTTCAACTCTGGAGGCACATTTACATGTGTATTTGCCTGGTTCACAAAGAAAGGTAACATAAGATTGTTTTTCTAAATACCAAATTCCGTCTACCTGGCTCTCGTTAATTAATTATATCTATTCATTTAGGATAAATAAAAACAAGAAAGTGCGTTAGAATAGCACTGAGTAGCCAAATGCGCTAATTTAGCTTCCATGTTGAATCTTGAATTACGTAACTAATAATTGCTATTATGTGGTGAAAACAAAAATTTACCACACAGACAAGCTGGCGCTTCCCAGGGTTATCAATACTTTGGCTACCAAACTTGGCCTCAAGTACTAAAATCAATGCAACATTATCCTGTTTAAGAAGAAGAATATAAAATGCTATCTATATCAGATATACGGTGAAGTGAAGATATTTAACATATAATAAAAATAAATAAATAAATAAATTAGCGCTTTATATAGAGATTACTACCTTGACCAACCGATTTAGAGCATTTCTCTTTTGTGCGCTAGGAACCAAAGCATCAGTCAGAGAGTGTGCTGCTTTATTGAACTCAACCTACAAGCATAATGCAGATCTTTAAAATTGATAATAATTGAGCTTTGAGATGTTGAATACAAGATGGCAGCTCAGTCACCTCATATTTTTTGACATGAGAGAATCTATCACGACGGAAGAAAGTAGCACAACCATCAACACTGCTGATGGACGCAACAAAAACCTGTGAAAGAAAAGCATCACACAGCGGATCAACAACAGCTTGATCTCATATATCACAATAGAAATATTATGTTATTAACCAACCTCTGCTGTTTTCCTTTTGAAACAAGCTTGATACCCATGTTTATCCAGCTCAGGAGCAAAGAATTCCTCAAAATGATCACTTTGAACCTGAAAGGTGATTAGAAAAAAAAATAAAAATAATAATAAAAAAAATGGAAGTAACATACACAAGGTTAAAAAATAATATTTTCTTCCAAATAGCCTTCAGAGAGTGCAAAGATCAACTTCTATAAAAAGAACCAAGCCAACTTAACCAAGATCCTTTTTTTTTTTTTCATCTCAAATGATACACAAGAATTCTCCATGAGAAAAGGCATGCCAATATTTATTGAAATAGTCACTTAATCTGTTAATCAAAAGCCCTAGAATATAAGCTCATAATATAAGATTGTTCGTAACGATAAGCGCACCTCTTGAAGACATACGATGTCAGCATGATAACCAATTATTTCCCGTAGGAGGTTCTGCCTACGGTAGTTCCAAGAAAGAGCCCAAGTCGGGCAGTAGCTGTACGATTCACTCGTTGCATACTTATCCGACAGGATATTGTACGAGAGCACTGTAAATGTACCAACCGACATAATCCGGCCGTCCATACCCAAACTCCCAGGCATGTCAATCCCACTCAGTGGAATCAACCGTCGGGGGCTGGGCGAGGGAGCAGGGATCACGCGGGAGGTCAGCAGTGTGTTGGTCGGCGCCACGGCCAACTTCGTCTCGGCATCCACCACGACACACTCAAACTTGAGTACGTGGCCAACATCATCAGCAGTCGGCGTGTACATCTTTTGGTATCCGACCTCAAACCACGTCTCACCGCCGTTCCTCTGAGCAACCGCAGCTGGGTAGAGGGCGGCACCGCCATTCGCCAGGTTGGGGTTTGACTGAGAGGTTGGCAGGCTTACGCTGCTGGAAATCTCGTCCTCCTCGTTGCCATTTTCGCTGACGGTGCTGGCTGCACGTTCGTGGAGGGCACGGTGATGGGGCCATGCGTCGGCGAAACATTTAGAGGAACAGTGGTAGCTCTTGCCAACGGGTATTTTCGCCTTGATGCATAAGAGGCACTGCAAGGAGGCCTGCTCGGTCGGGTGAATGCTACAAACTGCAACTTTTTTATCACTCTGCACACGATACCTGCATGGGAAACATATATTTACGTATATAAAAACGCAAACATGCGTTGATATGTAGAAGCATGCAGGTGTATGCAGTTTGTGTTCAGTCATTTTGGTATCTGGTAATTAAGTAGACAACATATCTGAACCAAATTAAGTAACAAACAACTATCAAAATCACAAGTTTGAGTACATTGCTCAGACAGGCATCTGTTTGAGATTCCAATATTATATACTGAAACATATAATGAACAACTTAAGTAGTTTACATCTAAAAAGACTGCTTTTTTATAGCTGTTCTTAAATTGTAGTTGCTCGGTAGCATAAGAGTTAATTTGGGGATTATACGACAATGACAGATTGACTTTAACAATCTTCCTTTTCAGAACCTAAAACGGTAGAAATAACATGATCGATGGAAAGTAAGAGTCTCGACCTAATTACCACTTTACAATCTGGATTGGACTTCAAATTATACCCTTCTGAAAAGTAAGGTAAAGACAAAGATTGTGGCAATCAGCTACCATATGTGTGCTATTCGTGAATATGGAAATTTCTTCCCACTGAAACCGACCCTAGTAAGTCTAGGAGAACCTAGTCAGTAATCTACATGTGGAACATAAAGCATTAATGGAAGAGAGAGTCTGACACGTAGCTTCCAAACACTTGCATCAAGCGAATCATAAGGCGAAAGGAAAGAGGTTCCAAAGCAAGACCAACAGAGTCATGCGGATATCATTTTACCACTTTTGTCTTTGCCCTCAGCTTCGAAAGATGAACATTAATACATTATCCATTCACAACTATCCTTCGCTTTAATACCACACACCAAAAGAAAAATGTCCACTGAACCCACAACTAATTCCTACAATTCAAACTTACACGTAAACTTTTCACCACAGAACTTCACAAAACCAGGTACTGAAACTCGATTCATACAACTCTTCTTCATCGTTTCCACATGCATGAGGACAATGGATATTTATAATGGCAGAACAGGGGGGTAAACAGAAAAACATTGCTGGTAAAAATCAATGCTCAAGCAAACTCACCATTTATATCTCAAGAAATAACCGTCCACCGGATTCAGCTCCGAGACATCTTCGGTAGTAACAGACTTATCGGGCCGCTTCAAAACCACATACGGAATCAATTCGCACCCTACGATCGGTATATCTGAGGGCAGGTGCACCCTTAGCACGCTCAGCATTTTACCCTAACCTTAAGTGAGTTCAATTCCTTAGCTTCTTCTTCTTCTTCTTCAAGCGTTTTTCCGAACCAAGTAACAGGGAGAATTGAAAACTCAAACACTAGCTCTCGGCGGACTTGTGGCGGATCTGCCATCACCTGCACCGGGCACAAATCGCCAGCGCTGCGCTCTTAGAGGCCCGGCGAATTTCAAGAAACAGGCATCAAATTCACAGGAAAACTCGATGGGAATGGGGGAAAATCGACGATCTTGACGAAAATCGAAATGTAATTGGTGAAAAAAAAAAAAAAAGGTCGAACCTTTCAGAGGGATATTAAAAATTGGGGGAGGGAGGAATGAAGTTGCATGTAGATTTAGAAAGAAACCCAGCTGGAGACGATCTCGGAGAATGGATTGATTGAAGGAATTAGGGTTTTACAGCACAAAAAAAAACTTCGAAAAATGAGAGAAACGAAGATTGGGGAAAAGCTCTCGTCAAGACTCCAACTAGTGACTGATTGAATTATATATTATTATGATTATAATATCATAGTATGTGAGAGGAAGAGGGACAACAAATTATATAGTTAACAAAATAAAATACACGAGAGTCAAAAATACCATTTACATACACCTGCTCTATTATTATTATTGAGTGTATCCATCAGTTATATATATTTTGAGAACTGATTATATATATATGAAAATGAAAATAATAAGAAAGTTGGTGTTTTTTCTTTCCTTTTGTGGGCAAAAAAGTAGACGTTGAGACCTAAACTGGCAGGCAATTTGGAACACTGTCTAATTATAAACTTGGAGTACTTGAGCATCTTATTATTATAATACAAATCAAATCTGCTAGAACAAAAATAGTAGAATAGCTTGGGTTCATGAATATTATAAACCACAAATATAGTGAACAAAAAAAAAAATCATGAGGGCCGTCGATAGCCTGACGTTCTTCAGCATTGAACTTGATTCATGATTATGGCCAAGCCTCATCGATCGACTATTAATTGTGGACATTGGATTTTATAAAATAAAATGCTAATTAATTTATGGCATGCAATATTGTTGGGTGAATTTCGACCTAACTAAAAACAATAATGGAATAATCTTTTTTTTTTCCTTTATGGAATTATTGAATGTCACAACTTATAAAATTAGTTGGACAGATCATGTCAAAATACATCAATTTAAATTTCGGGTTGAATAATGTATTTGTTCAATAAATTTGCTTTTCATTATAGTTATAGAGATGGACCATGTAGTTTTAGTTGTCGGTAACAAAATTGTAATAAAATGGGGATTATTTGTAAATAAGGTTGTCTGAAGGAAATCATGAATCCGTTGACTGCAATAAATATAGTTGCCAAACTAATCAATCTCGAGACAGCATATAATCAATATATCAACAGTTGGCTCCATAGTGGAGCCAACCTTCTATATACGATAAATGAACCTACTATATTCTTTGATTACTTAAATAACATTAATATAATCTATTGATATGGTAGGTTTATTTGTTGTATATAAAAGGTTGGCTCCACTATGGAGCCAACTGTTGGCTTCATAGCAAAATCGGATCTATATATACTAGTATAAAAAATTTGTTGGTAAAATCATTTTTAGCAACTTTAATTAAAAAAATAAATGAGTTGACTTACTATTAGTAAAAATTTTGAGAAAAATACACTTAGATATTTAGTAACAAAATTTAAATCATACTTTTGGTAACAAATTTGGATATTCCTATCCCAAAATCTGAACATAGTTTTTTCCTATCATTTTTTATTATTTTACCAAAAAGTACTTGCATATATGTCGATGTCATGATATGTTATTATATTAGCTGTATTTTCAGTGCCGATTTCGGCGGAGCATCGCTGATTCATTGATGCTCACGCCCCCACTAACCATTTTTCAGGTGACGTTGTCGAGCGTGGAGCGTGAGCCGATGATGTGGTGGTGGTCGTAGCGAGGATATTTTGAGGAAACATGTCATGTATATTTAACATGTTTGAATTATTATGTTTTGTTGATGCATGCTTGCATTTGCTTCCGCACTCAACATCAGTACTCAGAACAGTAGTCAGTATGCAAATTTCAGTTTATGTATGCCTAAAATCCTAGATTTCATGACGCCTTATTAGAGTAATAAATTATACCTCGGTTGCATGCATAATAGTAAGTGAGAACAGAAATGATAGTTTAGTTCAGTTTAGTAGCATCCCGCAAATTATAGTTAAAGTAATTTTGAAAAATTAATAAGAGTTTTTGCAAATTAAATTAGTTTTTACATTTATAGCGAAAAAAATTTACTCTGATTTTAATATGTTTAGGAGAGGTGTTACACGTGCATTATCCTAAAGATTAATATTTTATTTTATATTAAGATAAAATCAAAGTTGCACTCTTTACTCTCACGTACAAACATCCAAAAGACAAATGTCTTGTTTAACAATCAACGATTAGCAGTTCGCTGATACCAAATTGTGTCGGATGTTTTGACTAGCGGATTGTATTAGTTGTTTTGACCAGCGGATTATATTAGCGGTTTGTAAGACAGTGTTTGGTAAAATTAGTTGTTTGTAATTAGCTTTTAACTTATAAAATTGTTTATAATGACATTTATATGATATTATTATTATCTTACTTATGTTAAAATTACATAAAATATGAGTAATAATTATATTTTTAATGTTATGTAACGTAATTTAAATAATATATTAAATGTTTGTAAAAAAAGTGTTTGGTAGTTATGCAGTTTAATATCATATGTTAATGTGTAAAATTATTCATTAGGAAATTTATATATTTTGATACTTTTTATGTTACATTTATATTTGTTTTGAAAATATAAAATATTTTTATTTTTAATATATACAAAATAAAAAAAAATAACATAGTCCACTATAATTTATGCATCAAATAAAAGACATGCCTAGCTACTTGTAAGATGCTTGTAATTTTTGGACGTGTGTACTCATCAACCACCAGTTAGGTAACTTTCATGATAATTAATTAGACATCATCAAAATTAAAAGTGAAATTATTTTTCTCAACAACTATATTTAAACGCTGTATATAGCAGCGCTTTCAAAATTAGTTTTTTCATCCAAAATGCTATTAGAAACAACTATTTAACCGAATATCATATTTAGCCTTAGATATGATCAAACAGCTAGAATGCCTTCAAAAAACTAAAAGCTGGAGGAAAAATATTGTTTACAAACATAGCCAAAGTTGTTGCTATTTTTTTTTTTCATCATATACAGTTCATATTTTGTGCTCGATTGTTGTCAAAAATCAAAATGTATAGAAGTATTTTATGTCAATCTCATTACTGTTGCAACTACATGTTTTCACCTTTATATCTTGAATTCTAATTTGGACAAAATTGATGTCAAACAAATCAAACAAGTTACAACTACTTCATCTAACCGTGAATAACCTCAAAGGTAAATTCAATCATATACCAACGGATAGGGGTGAGTAAAATCGAGCCGAAACTGAAAAATCGAACGAACCGATATATTCGATGCGGTTCGGTTTGGTTTTTCAAGGGTTCGGTTTTCGATGCGGTTAAAATTTTGAAAAAACCGCACAAATCTCGGTGCGGTTCGGTTTTTTAACCGAACCGCACCGAACATGTTTTTTTTTTTAAAAAAAAAAACAAATATGTTAACATGTTTGTTTTTGTACA